AATGAATTATTATTATTATTATTTCTGCAGTTTAGCGCCATCTGCTGTCAGAGAGTGAAAGTGCGCTTTCATCCAGAGCGTCTCTCACATGTTCCGCCATGTGCTTCTCATTTGCGTTTGTTTACATAAGAGTGCCCATGCGTCTTTCACGCAGCATACAGCGGTGTTGTGCATTTTGACCAGTTGATGGTAAAAGTATTCTTAAAATGCATTCAAAATTCTGAATAATTTGTAATATATAATTATTCACGGTATTTAGAAGTGCCCACGATAACAATATCGTGCATATTCATTACCATGATATATCGCATTACCGAATACCGGCACAAGTCTAGTTGGAAGTAGCATTCACAACATATTTACTACTGTATGCAAAATTAATGTTACCTGGTATCTATTTGAGATAATATGATTACCAGTGCAGATACTAAATACTATGTTAAATATTAATTGCAGTGTGTTATGCATACCATCTTTAAATAAAAAAAAAAAAGGAAAACAAAAAACCTGCTACCACCCCACCTATTTTATTGCTTTTTGTCTATATAAATGGACAAATTTCTTTGTCTCTCTTTTCTTTTGACTCTCTTAGCTACCCTTACAAAATGTAGCTAATCCGTTACTGATTCTAAATTATATGACAAAAACTGTAGTTAGTAACACAATTATGTTACACATTTTAGGTAATATAATCAGACTACTTTTCGATTATTTTTTTATTACTTTTGACCGAACTCATTTATCATATTGATTTAAATATGATAATCTCATACCATATTGACATAAAACTACAAATAGAAATAAATATACTCCATTTGTTGATATTAACAACATGAAGTGCATTAAACATATTATGTTAAGGTTTCCCACGAGTTTAACAAAATGCTAATAATTAATCATAAAAATGTACAATTAAAATAGGGCTGAAGCTATCGAATATTTTAGTAATAGAGTATTCTACCGAAAATTGCATCGATTAATCTGATAAGAACTTTTTCTTTATTAAAGACCAATACTAAATATACAAGAGAAAATAAGACAGATCTCTTAAAATGAACAAGTAATTTGTTTCCTTTTTTAGAAAAATTAAAATTTTTATTGCTGAAATTGCATATATTAATAACTGTGAAAACTAAACCCATTTAGTGCATTTAATTGCCAAATTACATTCAAAATGCAAATACAAATATATAACAAAATAAAAATCTATTTCAAATTACTTTAAAAAAGGTAAACAGTACAACCAGAAACTAAGACATAAATCAGAATAATAGTAATTAAAAAAATTATAATAAAACCTAAACATTGTGCAACTTAACTTTCAAGTTTCAGCCTAACTACAGGGGCCCGTTCTTCGTACGTCACTTATTGCATCCGAGATTAAATGGCACATCCAAGATGATATCGCGCTCATCAGGATCTGGCTAATTCGGTTCTTCGAACGCAGCTGTTGTTGATGATTAGTATGGCTGGATTGAGTTATCTGAGATAACTGTGCATTCATGGGTTGGTTTAAAAGGGGCTATGAATCGATATTTGAAACCACGATCGGCAATGCAGCGATTGGCTGGCGGCAAGACAGCAACGTAATGACATCATGACAATTAAAAAAGACACCTGATGAAAAACTTGACAAATTTTTTGACTTTTATAAGAAAAACAGCCAAGCGAACAAAACTACATAAATGTTATAATAGATAAAAGAAATGTGCACTGTTTTTATTTTATTTTAATTTTTTACATGATTCCCAATTATTTATATTCACGATTTGTAATATTTGTACAGGCTTTACATTTTTATTTCAATGTAGTAATTAGCAATTCATTTAATTTTATATTTGAACAGATTTGTTAAGTTTCTTAAGGCTCAAGATCATGTTATCTGCATCTCCTGCGCTCCATCAAGCCACTCCCATAATATCTGTCACCACTCAAATTAATGTACGGCTCAGATTAACTGTATACATAAAGAAATTATTTCATCATAAATATTTTAATGAGTAAAAGTGTCTGTGTCTATATATAGACACAGCCAGTTTTACTCATTGAAATATACTATAGCCTATAGACTACACAACATTATTATATTGTTTTTCAATTAATTTTAAAATTATTATTATTTTAAATTACTGTCCGGCAAACAAATGGGATTTACTATTAAAATTAAAACATGGAAGAAATTTTGTGTGATCGTTCCTTAAAAAATTAAGTTTTCAAAATGTTAGTAGTAGTAGTATGTACATTCTGCTGAACAATAGTAATATATTTCTGCTGCAATGTCTTCAAATTAAAATTTATTTTGATGGGTTGCCGTGAATAATTTAAATTAAATTAGATTAAATTTACATTTCTGTGTGTATGATATGAGCTAGTTTTACTCAAATGAAACGGTGAAACGGTCATGAAGTGACTCTCAGAGCAGTTCTGGGGATGTTGTTCGTGTGCTTATGTCCTCATTGAGACGGCAGACGCTGAAATCACCGCGCGCTTCAGTGTGTGTGTGTGGTAAAGGAAAACGTGCGTCTCTGCCATTCATTCATTCATAGAGATATGATCGCGTAATACGAGTTAATGCTCATCAGATCGCGTAAATCAGTGGGAAATGAATAGAAATGATGATTTTGTGTAAAGAAATATCAAGTAAACATGTATAAAAATATAAAAACCCTGGCAAAGCTATTATTATCAGCGCATGTGAGCAGAGCATAGCGGGGAGCGGATCAGTGAACGAGATTTTACCAGCGTTGCCCAGTATTGCAAACAGGAACAAGTATACTACATAGAAATTTCTTGTCCGCGCTATTTGAGCGGACTTAGCTTTTCCAGTGAGCATGAGCGGTAAATGAGCAGAATGAACACTGATAGAGCGGAATAATGAACGGAGCGTCACACGGCGCAGTGATGACGGCTGGAGGAGAGTGAAACCTGAACACTGCTGGGCGGCGTGGCGCAGCATATATTTTCGATGGCCGAAAATTCAGTGCATTCCTAGTAAATGGACTAAACGATTCTCCGAAGCACATAATTTGCCTCGATGATTTTTTTGTATTCGAGTTACTCAAGTTACTCGAGGAATTGTTTCAGCCCTAAATTAAAATAATTTATTTTAAACTAACAACAACAACCAAAATAAAACACTTACTAAAAAAGATCAAATATTTAATTTTTTTTTAAACCAGAGAACCGTCAACATGTAAATGTGTTACTTAACCATTAATTTATTACCTTAAAATCTAAGGGGGTACTTCAAGTAAATATATTAGGTGAAGGAGAATCAGCTGAGAAAAAAAGTTTGGGAATCCCTGCATTACTTGTAAATAAGAAATGTGAATTTGTGCATTTTAATGTGTAATTTAAAAGATGAAAAAGAAGAATTAAAGGCACAATATGTAATTTTCGCCACTAGAGGGCGCGTATTCAAAATAAACAAAGAGACAAAGGCGTAGTTAGATGACGCTGTAACTGAGTGTGGAATCATGGGAGTTGTCGTCTTCATCCCCACAGCCGATGCAATCCGACGGGACTCGGGCAGAAATCATTCATGGATGAGCTAATGATTTATTAACGTAGTAGAATGAAGCAGGGTGAGGCTGAAAGCCGTCGAAGCGAAACGAGGCCGCTGAACGAGCGTGACACATGGCTCGAAAGCAGCGGAGCTTTTATTATGCCACAGTCGAGCGCTTCCGCTCCTTCCTGTCGTGCGTATGTGGGGAAAAAGAGCAGCGCTGTTTTATCATACTAGATACGTTTGAAAGTTCTGTTATAATGCTACTCTGGGCGGTCGTCACCGGTCTATTAAAACGCACAACATATTAAAGCGTCTTTGGTGTTTCCATGTTTTCTACAAAACAAAACCATAAATCGAGGGGTTAATGACATCATTGGCCGGCGACACAATGACACTATGGACACGCTCCGTGTCACTAGTTAAAATTGCTTATTTCTCTGGATTTAAACATTCTTCGAAACATTTGGGATAATGTAATTACACAAGTCAGCAAAATACTGTATATAACACTGCAACTACAGTGGTTTTGGATATTTTAATAAAACAATCGTACATATTGTGCCTTTAAGGAGAATAAATAAATCATGATAAATTTATTGCTACTGTGTGAATAATATGTAATCATGTAACCAATAAAAAAGTAACTGTAGTCTGATTACAAGTATTTTAAAATGTAATATAATCTAATTAAAAGTAGGCCCAATCAATTTTTAAAATCTGATTAGGTAATCCAGATCACATGTAATCAGTTATTACCCAGCACTATACATACATACATACATACATACATATATATATATATATATATATATGAATGCTTTATATTAACCATTAGTTCCCCTACTAAAATATTGACATCATCCATCTAAATCTAGATAAAGACTGACATGGGTGTTCAAGCACAATTCAAATCCCAGAAGTGATTACATATTGAGGCTTATGCACTGACTTTAAAAAAGTTTAGACTTTACAGAATTGTAGAGTTAAAGAAACCTCTAATGACATACGACATCAGTATGGAAGAATTCCAATAAGCCTCGAGCAGGCTCGGATTCCTCCTGCACTTGTTTGCCCTATCGATCGGATCACGAGTACCAGAAAGTGTCACCTTTCTACAGATGTGATAAAACAAAAGGTGAGTTGATTTGAACTGTATTGTCAGCTGTTTTACTCACATGGAAAAACAGAACAAAGTTTCCCAGTACGCGCGATTATCATGTAATCACTATTATCAACGCACTGCAAATCTGAGCGCATCTCTTGCGAAGTGGCCTTCGCTTAGTTTACAGCTTCACCTACGAATACTATAAACTTTTATGGTATATCTCAACAAGGCGAAGCCGCAGTTGCGTGCATGCATTTAGTAGTTGGTGCTCAGCTTCAACAGATGATCAACAGCCACCACACAGACACTTCCAGCTCCTTCTCCACACATCAACTCCAAAAACACCGCATATGATTCGCACTGATTCGCAACGCTTCGTCCACTCACCTGTACGTAGTTACTCTCGCAGTATTCGGCGACTCTCTCGAGGTTGGTGAAGCTGTCCAGTAAAGCTCCGCGACCCGCTGGAATTTCCTCCTCCAGCAGCATCTGCAGCTCCGCCATCTTTACATCCCTCCACTCGACCGCCTCGCGCAACTACAGACAGGAAGTAGAGCGGCTTCACCTCCCGCTGAGTTTTGGGAAAAGCCAGGGAAGCGCGTTTACGAATCCTACTATGGTGAATGAGTTCGCGTATTAAAGTTAGTGATGTTGCGCAATATTCCGTAACCATACCATATTCTGTAACTATTTCATATACATTTAAATGTGAAAATATATGGACATACACTACTGGTTAAAAGTTTAAAATAATGTGAAATATTATTACAATTTAAAAGTAAAATGTGAATTATTCCTGTGATGGCAAAGCTGACCATTACACCAGTCGTCAGTGTCACATGATCCTTCAGAAATCAATTTATGTTGCTCAGATGTTTTCAATTATTATTAGTGCTCTATTATTAATAATGGTTCTTATTAAACGCTGAAAACAGTTTTTGCTGCTTAATATTTTTGTAGAAACTGTGATGAAAGTTCAGAAGAACGAAATTTTATTGAAATAGAAATATTTTGCAACAAATGTCTTTATTGTCACTTTTGAACAAATAAAATAAATGTATAAAATCTTACCTCAAACTTTTGAATGGTAGCGTATCTTAGTTTCCACACAAATATTAAGCAGCATTATTTTTTTCAGAATTTATAATAAAACTGTTTCTTGAGTTTCTTAATATTTTAAAATGCATCTAAATATAAAATAGTTATTTTAAATCGTAATAATACCTCACAATATGAGAAATTAATATTGATCAAATGCAGCCTTGGTAAGCAAGAGACGACTTCTTTCAAAAACAAACACTTTTGTAGCGTGTATGAAAGAGTTCCACAATATATTACTTTTTGTTGTTGTTGTCGTTGTAGTTGTTAATGATTTAACCAGCGATCTAAGCATTACAGTATAATAACAAAATGCTACGTTTAATAAGTTGAACATGAAGCAACAGATAAACAACCTTTATCACTATATATTTCTTCCTCTCATTTTTCCTACCAACAATAATGTTTCTTTAATCAAAATGAATTATCACACGTAATATACGCTGAAAGAATGCATTACTGAAAAAATACGTCTAGATGCACTTTCTGTCTCGCATTCCTTTGGAAATTGCGCCCTCTGTGTTGTCATCAATTCACTCTTTATTCGCCAAGTGTGTGGAGCTCTTGGTAAAAACACATACATACATAAATGACATTGAGAACAGAAATAACATTTAAATAAGACTAAGGAAAAAATAATAATAATAATAATATTGTGGTATGCATCTGGAACAGAAGATTTGGTAACACTTTACTTGAAGGGGTGTGCATAAGACTGACATGACACCTTCATAATCATGACATGACACATGTCATGAATATGAAGGAGGTTTTATGCATGTTTATGACAACTGTCATTAAGTGTCATTCGCTCAGTTATGTCATTTTTAATGCAAAGATGACATTGTTTGAGATGTCTTTGTTATGGGCTATGGTTAGGGGTAAGGGTAGGGGTAGGGTTAGGTTAGGTTAGGGTTAGGTCAAATAATGTCATCTTTGCATTAAAAATGACATAACTGAGCGAATGACACTTAATGACAGTTGTCATAAACATGCATAAAAAACCTTCATATTCATGACGTGTCATGTCATGATTATGAAGGTGTCATGTCAGTCTTATGCACACCCCTTCAAGTAAAGTGTAACCGAAGATTTATGTACAGATTTGTGCATTATTTACTGTATATACAGCTGTATAAATAAAAATATGTATAATTATTTACATAATACTTGAGACAGAGACTATAATTAGTTATTAAGAAATGAATTATAGATGACAGGTGGTGATTTCTCTGTTAGCTGTTTAAGCTGGAGATGTCATGGGGGAAAACTGTGTTTATCTAGATGTTCTAATGCAGAGATCTGTAACGTCTGCCTGAGGGGATACATGCAAACAGGTGGTGGCCGGGGTCTGTGATGATGTAACCTGTCCGCTTCTTCACTCTGGATTTGTACAAGTCCTCAAGGTTGGGCAGGTGCACACCAATTATCCTTTCAGCTGTCCTAACAGTCCATTGCAGTCTTCTTATATCTTACATCATCAAGAATTATTTCACTCCTTTAACATCTAGTTAGAAATGACAGTATTAAAAGGCAATTTTGTGCTGTGTTTGTGTATAGGCCTATGTGCTCTTTAGTGATGCGTTTAATTGTAAAGGGGTATTTGACATGAAACATCAAGTGATCGACAGGAGTGTCCTACATTTATTTGCATTTATTCAAGCAGGCACACACTTTTATTAGCTATCCAAAGCAACTTACAAACGGCATGTTATACCTGCAGTATGCAATACAATACTTCTGGTAAAAGTACTTTAAACAACATTTTTCTAACTGTTGAATAATTATAATATAAATAGTTCTTATGAATCCATAGATATGAAATATCTGTGTTGTAAAAAAATGTTAAGAATTCAACACATCACAGGACGATTTAAGTGGACTGCAAAAAAAGCTAGGTCGTACTTCTAATATACACTTAGAAGATCAGCAAAAACAGTGAAACAGGAAAGTTAACAAAAAAGTTTATTCATATGTTTACACGGTTATAATCTACAGTATACAGTATAACAAGCCCAACAATACAGTAATATACGAAATGTTTACTTCAAAACATTTAGCACAAAACAATGTTAATTTCTGATTATTGATAAATGTAAATCATGTATCAGTGTCAGTGTCAGGCTGCCAGCTCATTTTTCTCATGACGTGGATACTCCTCCACCTCCATCGCCATTAAAAACTCTGACAGTAAAGAAAGTGCTTATGTTAGGATGTAGACTATAGAGGAATAAGATAATTGACAATAGACACATGAATAGGATAAGACACACACACACACAAACACACAAACACACACACAGACACACAGACACTCAGACACACAGACACACACACAAACACAAACACACACACCATTAACTACAGCTGTTACATCATACACATTCTGTATAGGTCTACTTACCTTCAGTGTAGTCCATGTCCGGTCGTGTAGCAACAAACACCCAGGCCAGACCAACCAGAAGAGCTACGACCAGGTTCACCACAATCCAGGGCTGTAGAATCTGATGTTCTGAACCTGGGGGCCTAAACACCAATCACTGCATGTGATTTAGTGAAGTACACAACCCTGTGCTACAGATCAATTCAAATTACAGGATGATACAGTGATTGTTGCAGTAATGTTTTAAGGATATTATGCTGGATTATATTACACTCTTAAAAATAAAGGTGTTTCAAAAGGTTCTTCAAGCGATGCCATAGAAGAACCATTTTTGGGTCCACAAAGAACCATTCAGTCAAAGGTTCTTTAAAGAACCATCTCTTTCTTACCTTTTTGTAATCTGAAGAACCTTCTTTTGCCACAAAGAACCTTTTGTGAAACAGAAAGGTCCTTCAGATGTTAAAGGGGTCATATGATGCTGCTAAAAACTTTACAGATCTTCTTTATGCACCAAGAGCTTGTAACACTCCAGAGAGAAAGGAAAAATTGAAATCGCATCAGATGACCCCTTTAAAGGTTCTTTATGGAACCATTTAGACAAAAAGGTTATTCTATGGCATCGTGAAGCACCTTTATTTTTAAGAGTGTACGCCTAGATTGACAAACTCACCAAAGTGTTTCATTGGCTGTGGGGTAGAGATGTATACGATCACTGGTCATCTGCTGGCTCAGCGACAGGATGAGAGCAGCAAAGTATACTATAGGACAAAAAAGACAGACAGAAGGTTTAATCAAAAAAGCCATTTCTGTCTTTGTGTTGTCAGAAGCAGTGTTATTTTAGTATTGAGATTAAAATGAGAAACATTGCCTTAACGACTAGCTGAAATAAATAAAAAGTTTTTTATATGTTTTTTTCTTTCTTTTCTTTTTAATGTGTTTAGTTTTAGTAAACTATAATAACTCTGGTAAGAGGTAAGTGTTGTGTTGATACAGTTTATTGATTTTCACTCACAGAAGGAAGCAAGAGCCGCTGGATCAAGAGTGAGAAATCCTCGAAGAGCCATGGAGGCTTTGGCCAGATTCACCCTGATGTAAAGAGGGTACAGCTAACTCACTCTGAACATGAGTCACATTTTCAAACACTCAGATCAAGAAATTATACAACAGTTAGTTTTGAAACATTCACTTATCAGTTGTCTTGTAAGTCAATGATTCGATCTTAGCGCAGGTTTTCCCAAACTGGGGTTTGCAAACACATGGTGGTTCGTGAGTTGATGAAAACGTAATAAATAATTAAATAATGAAAATGTAATGAACACTAATTACTTTAAAATAAAAACAATCAAAATAAAACACTTACTAAAAAAAATATATATATTTTCTTAGTTTAACTGCATGTCATGTGACCATTAATCAACATCATAAACATGCAAATGTGTTGTTAAAGTATTTAAATATTAACTTAAAATCTCAATGTTAAAGGGGATCGGCTGACAAAATGTATGGGAATCCCTGGTGAAGGACTAATTTATTAAACTGGAATCAATAAGTTTGCTCATTGAAATTTTAAATTGCTTGGAGTATGATTATGTATTGTTTGTACTGTTGTTGCTTGTATTGACACTTGTGTTCTTACTCCGTGTCCACACACCTGTCAAAGGCAGACACGGTGCTGATGGCCAGAAGCAGGTAGAGCAGAGACTGTGCTGGGTAAGCCAGACTGTGGTACTGCTGGAGAAGGTTAGGTAGAGTGGTCATCTGCTCTCCAGCTAACACATACACTACAATGATGTTCCACACCGCATATCCTGCCAGAAATCCATGAGAGAACAGTCCAATGATCCTACACAGAAAACAACAACAATTTTAGCACATAACAAGTCATCAAGCTCCAAAAAGAAAACCACATGATAAGGACATGGCCATGATGAGTACTGGACAAACTCATGAAACCCTGTTATGAAACTGAAACACATTAGAGTTGATAAGAGCTATTAGACTATTTGAGACCATCTCCCAACCAAGCCCACCTGAAGCCGCTGTGGACCCTCATGGCGACATCTCGTGTATTCCACATGGGTCTGACCTCCATGTACTCCTCCATATGGCCACGGGATAAATCCAAACGATCAGTCGCCTGGAAGCGGCCTGGGTCAGAGGTCATACACCATTTTATTAGCTTTATTTTATTTTCCTATTTTATTGGCTACATTTATATATAATATACATTTACATTTACATTTACATTTAGTCATTTAGCAGACGCTTTTATCCAAAGCGACTTACAAATGAGGACAATAAAAGGTCCACATACTTCACATAATACTGTATATATATATATACATTTAACATAAATCAGTATATATATATATATATATATATATATATATATATATATATATACAGTGGGTACGGAAAGTATTCC